CACACCGCTCATGGTGGCTGAGACCAGGTGGTTGAGGTCACCGTAGCAGGGCGTGGTCAGTTTGAGTGTACGGAAACAGATGTCGTACAGGGCTTCGTTATCGATGCAGAACGTCTCGTCTGTGTTCTCCACCAGCTGGTGGACCGACAGAGTGGCGTTGTACGGCTCCACCACTGTGTCCGACACCCGGGGGGAGGGCACCACGCTAAAGGTGTTCATGACACGATCTGGATATTCTTCTCGGATTTTCCCGATGAGCAGCGTTCCCATTCCAGCTCCGGTTCCTCCCCCCAGGGAGTGGGTGAGCTGGAAGCCCTGCAGGCAGTCGCAGCTCTCCGCCTCCTTCCTCACTACATCCAGGACAGAGTCCACCAGCTCGGCTCCTTCGGTGTAGTGACCTTTGGCCCAGTTGTTACCAGCTCCAGTCTGGCCAAAGACAAAGTTGTCTGGTCTGAAGATCTGACCAAATGGACCGGACCTCACAGAGTCCATGGTCCCTGGTTCCAAATCAACCAAAACGGCTCGAGGGACATATTTCCCGCCCGCGGCCTCGTTGTAGTACACGTTGATTCTCTCTAGCTGCAGGTCGCTGTCTCCACGGTACGTTCCTGAGGGGTCGATGCCGTGTTCGTCACTGATCACCTCCCAGAATTTACCTCCAATCTGGTTTCCACACTGGCCTGCCTGCATATGAACGATTTCCCTCATTTTGGCTGGAACTGAAGGTTAAACTTTATCAGAAATTGTTGAAAATGTCCTTGACTTCTGTTGTTGTTTTAGCTTTAGTTTGTCGTTGACATTTAGTTTAGTTTTTCAGGGTTTATTTGTTTTTCTTGTTTTGTTGTTGTTTCCTTCTTCGTCGTCTTCTTCTTCGTCGTCGTCTTCTTCGTTCTCTTCTTCTTCTTCGTCGTCGTCGTCTTCTTCTTCTTCTTCGTTTGAGGTTGAAGCCGACGAATCACCTGCACATTAAGTTTTTCCATCAAAGGTTGTGAGATCATGTCTGCTGCGGCCTTTGAAGTTAATTTGTCTTAAAAATCTTATTTCATAAGAACTAAATGACTTCAGGTGTCCCGGCAGTGTCGACATCATGTTTCTACTCCCCCTGCCAGTGTTCGCCTTTGACTTCTATTAGGTAACACTGCCATCTTCTGGCGACAATGGGTCAGCACATCTTCCGAAACTGAGCTCAGATAATAACATAAACACAGGAGTTTCCAGTGATGATTCCCCCCTAAAAAAAAAAAAAAAAAGAATATTCGGTGCATTTCTTAAACACTGGATGCTCTTCCTGCTGCAATGCATTTCGGGACATAAATGAATGCTTTTCTGTGTATGCTTTTCTACAATTCCTGTTTATTCTGAAGTGTTGACATGAACTGTAGAGGCAGTCTGTCATTACTGGTTTCTCACGTTTAAATGTTCGTATCAGATTCTGACCACGAGCCAGTGTTTGGTCTCAGTTGTCACTCACCTGATCTGTGATTGGTGCTCGGGCACGGATTGGATTTGAGGCTGTGCTGAAAACAAAGTGGAGTAAATACTGATTTAAATCAGACTTATTTTCTCCAGTTTGATCACATTTACCTCGGAAATTTAATAAAAGTCCTGCCTGGAAAAACGGAAGTGTAAAACACGTTAGCCCTTTAGCAACACATTATATAAAGTATAAAAAACGTTAGCCCTTTAGCAACACATTATATTCAGCAGCGAAATAAGAACATTTTCAAACTAATTTTTATATCGTTAAACGACAGACAAATCGCGGATTTTAAAACAGAATAATTTCTTTAAGTTCACTGGTGAAAACTACGCTCCGTTTCTTCATCACCAAATTGATCGTTTTATCGACACTAAACAGTGATTTATAATAAAAACAAACGAGGTTGTAGTGACTATATTTTCCGCCAGATGGCGCCTGGTAACACGACTAGCCCTCGGTGCAGCATAAACGCCAACGAACCCCTAACTCTCTTTAGATTTCAATAAATGTATCTTTTATGGAGTCATTTTTAAAAACCTCCCGTGTGTGGAGTGTGGAAGTGTTTATAAACGATCCAGGACGAACCCGCGAATGAATCTGTGAATTAAAGAGGAACCGTTTGTGTTTAAAATGGCACCGGTCTAATCATTAGCAGAACGAGCTTCTGTGAATTTAAACGCATTAACTCTTAGCTCCTGGCCATAGTTCCGGGTTTTTATGAAGCCTTAGTGCAGATTTAGACTCAAACGGAAAGAAAGAAACACATTTTAAACGTATATATAAAACAAACGTCATCGTGTATTTAAACCTGATTGATGTTGGTAATGTTTCTCAGGTGAGTTTCACTCCTGTGTCTGACGTTTGTAAGAAACTCTAAATATTATCAACACGGATTTAGAAACAGACGGAACCGGAAATGGAGTGTTTCACTGTCACAGATTCAAACACTTATTCAAACTTAATGTTGGGTTTGTCATTTCATATGTTTGGTAAATGTGTAACGTAATGACTTAAAATAAAATAAAATAAAATAAAATAAATCAAAGCCAAAAAAATAAATAATAAAAAATACAACAGAGACTTTCTGCAAACGTGATTCGACACATTTCGCCGGCATTTCTCTACATACAGGACAATATCAGGTGTTTTATATAAAATAAATACATGACTGAGGTGCAGTTGGTTTTTAAATAAAAACATAACATTTAAATTTAAATCTTCCGGGAAATAAACATACATTCTGGTTTAAAAAAAATACAAAACCCCCCCCCCAAAAACAAATCTTAACAAGAATGCAATAAAAACAAAACAAATATTTTACCAACCTATTAGACAAATACAAAACAAGAAGTTAAATTTGAATTAAATTAAATTTTAAATTTAACAATTTTTTAAAGTGGATTCTTTTGTTTCTATAGTCTCGCTGTTTTAAAGACGTAATCTGCCTAACAACCAGTGATCGCTGCTGTTTGATTCACCTCCAGATAAAACGAAGACATGTCTGGACTGAAGTCAGAACGTTGTAGTTTAAATTAAGTCTTTGTCTGTAGAGAACAAACATTTCTGTCTTTAAATGTGAGCAGAATATTCGAGAATAAAACTTCAACACAAATATGTGAATGTTATGTGTGTACGGTGTGTGTGTGTGTGTGCAGTACTTCCTCCGCCGGTGAAACTCTGCTACAAAAATATCTACATTTATTTACAAATTGAATTATCACATTTCTTAATTTTGATATATTTATTTTACCGTGATTTATTTATCACAAACGGTTCAATCTGTTTTTTTTCTGGAGGCCAGTGCAGGTTACTGTAGTGTCACTTTACCAACAGCAGGTGGCGCAGTGAACAAACCGTGAATGCACGTTTGGCTTTTTGGTCTTGAAGAGTTATTTTTATTTTATTATAAATGTTTTTAAATTATTTTGAATTTCAGTATTTTAATTAATTTAATTTATTCAATTTCTGTTGGTATTTTTTTTTCTATCCTAAAATTCTTCACTTGTTTTTCATCCTGGCAGATTTCACCTCCTCTCAACATATTTTAAAAATATCATCCTGGAAAAAACCAGTGCAGTTAAATGTCATATAATAATAAAATAATAAAAATAAAAATAAAAATAAGGAATTGAACTAGGAAAAGACCAAGATCTGATCCAAAATTTTAAATTATTATTAAACTGTATAATGTGTTAAGACATGTAGCAGATTTATATCAGTTTAAATTTCATTTAACAAAAAATGTTAATTTCATATGAGTTCTTGATATTTTTAAAAATAAATAAATAATTGAATTAATTATTTCGGTGTTGGTGATTGGTCCATATTATTATTATTTTTAAAATCAGCTGAAAGAAGAAAAGTGAAGAAGAAGAAAATGTATATATTTTTTCAAATTCATTCAACGATGCATGATTTCAGTGTTAGGTGACGTCACACTCCTGTTCCTATTCACACACATTTATAGATGTGGTGCTGTTTTAGATGCAACAGACGCTTCACCACCAGGGAGTCACGTGACATCAACAGGAAGGTTCAAAGAAACTGAAGTGAAGGAGCAGCTCTGAACATGTGTACACTCTGTTAGAAAGGTCAGCCCGGGGTCAACATAGGTTCAAATCCAGGTCAGAGAGAGAGAGAGTCTATAAACATCAGTTCTATTTTCATTCTTTTATCTTTCAAATACCCGTCACCTTTTACTGCAGTTGTACTTTTACATGTGTATATTTATATGTATATTTACCTATATTTGAAGTAGAGCCTTTGGATCTACTTTTCTGGGAGTGATGAGGTCCTGATGAGGTCCAGGGTCTGGTCTTGTGATCCAGAACAATGGACACATGAGAGAGAAAGTGTGACAGATATTTTAGTCCACAAAGACTTCCTCTGTGTGAAAAAAAGAAAAACACAATGATGTGATGATGTTGTCATGAACACAGATGTTTCAAAGTGAATTATTTACACAGATTACGGTCAAATATTTGTTATTTTATTATATCTATTTTTTATACTCAGTATTCAGTAAGTACTGAAGTTTTTTTGGTTTCAGTTGCATACTACGCTGTACTTTTTACTTTATACAATATGTACGACACTATGTTATAGAATACATTTGTGCTACACAATACTATTACTATACTATAATATACTGTACTGTTACACACTATACTACAATATACTGTATATAATGTGAAATACTGCAAAACATTATGTTATATATTACTATTGTATATTATATGAGATTGTACTGGACCATAAAATATTATAAAACATTATATTATTATACACGATACATCGCTATTATACAAGGCCTCAGGGGTGAGGAGAGACAGAAGGGTGAGGAGGGACAGAGGGGTGAGAGAAGACAGAGGGGTGAAGGAAGACAGAGGGGTGAGGGAAGACAGAGGGGTGAGGGTGGATGCTGAGTCCCTCCTTGATCTGGTGCAGATGTTTTGGTAAATGAAGACGTGAAGCAGGTTCTAGTTCTGTGGGAGAGAGAGGGAGAGAGAGGGTGAGAGAGAGAGAGGGAGAAACCATGGGTTCAACAGCAGGGCAATGACTCTCTTCCAACACTCCATCTCACACACACACGACCATGATCACACAAACACACACACACGCACACCCCGGGGCCACGCAGCTCAGCATGTTGTCGTGCATTAAGGCGTTTGCCTACGGGAGTGTGTGTGTGTGCAGCAAATGAGCTCCTTCAGTTTGGGAGGGGGTTGAGGGAGTGAGGGGGGGGGTCCTAATGTGACAGTCACCTGCGGAGGTCGTCTGTCTGAGGACTTTCTGACTGAACCTTCGACTTCATCTTTGATCAGCGACAAATAAAAAAAACCAACTTCAACCCCTGATCACATCAACACACAGTCACTGCTTCCCCAAGGCCAAGAGAGTGTGTGTTGTCATGGTAACCAGTAAAAACCTGTCACACTCCACTTCCTCTCTCTCTCTCTCCCTCCGTCTCTCCCTCTCTCACCCTCGTTCTCAGCACGACGAATGTCTTCATTAGACTGAAAATTGGGCAGAAAAAAATGACAGTAACTACCACGTGTGTGTGTGTGTGTGTGTGTGTGTGTGTGCGTCCACTCTGGCTCCTCCTCCTCTATCTCTCTCCTGCTTCTCCTTCATCAGGTCACGGAGAGGTCGGGAGGAAAAATGAGGAGCCTCGCTGCCACTGATGAAGATCTCTCTGTTTTTCCTCCCTTTTCCTCTCACTCTCTGATCTGGTAGTGGGTTGGTTTTTTTTTTTTTTTGGGAGGATCTTAAATTTCAGTTCACTTCCTGTTCTCTGTCTCCGCTCCAGGAGAACCGACTGGAAGATCAAGAGAACCCTTTGAAATGAACACCTGCGTTCAAGGTTTCCATCAGGGTCACACACGGACAGATTATAATTTGAACACAGATTATTATTCCACGCAATTTACTTTTTTTTAAATATGTGTGTGTGTTTAATCTCAGATGTGATATTCCATCGTCACCTCCTCCTCCTCTGACTGTTTCTTTGTTCTTTAACGTCTCACTAATGTCAGACATTCGCTGCACTCCAACGCACCATCACTGAGACAAATCAAACAAAGAAGCAGCTTTGTGTTTTATTTGTCCACGTCCTGAGACACAATGTCCAACAGTGGGCGCCGTCATCAGGTACAGTCACGCTGAATTTTCCACAGTGTGTGTGTGTGTGATGGCGTGGAATCACGTTTGTCCTGGTTGGTCACAGAACAGTTTCATAAAGACATCAAGTACGGCTGAGAGTGAAGGAGGAGGAGAAGTCACTGGAGTCAGGAGGAGGTGATGGAGGAGGTGATGGGAGGAGGTGAAGGGAGGAGGTGAAGGGAGGAAGTGATGGGGGAGGTGATGGGGGAGGTGATGGGAGGAGGTGATGGAGGAGGTGATGGAGGAGGTGAAGGGAGGAGGTGATGGGGGGAGGTGATGGGAGGAGGTGAAGGGAGGAAGTGATGGGGGAGGTGATGGGAGGAAGTGATGGGGGAGGGGATGGGGGAGGTGATGGGAGGAAGTGATGGGGGAGGTGATGGGAGGAAGTGATGGGGGAGGTGATGGGAGGAGGTGATGGGGGAGAAAAATGTGCAGAACAAGTTCCTACCTGAAAAGGTGTGTACTGCAGTTCCTGGTAGCGCCTCCTGGAGGACAGGGTGGGTCTGAAAAACAGAAAATAATAAGTGACTGTAGCCAAACAAATCTAATCTAATCTGATCTAATCTAATTTAACCTAATCTGATCTGGTCTAATCTAATGTAATCTAATCTAATATGGTCTAATCTAATCTAATCAAATCTAATCTAATCTGCTCTAATCTAAATTTATCTGGTCTAATCTAATTTAACCCAACCTAATCTGGTCTAATCTAATGTAATGTAATCTGATCTAATCTAATTTAATCTAATCTGATCTGATCTAATCTACTCCAATCTAATGTAATCTAATGTAATCTAATGTATTCTAATCTAATCTGATCTGGTGTGAATGATCAACACTGTTGACAGTGATATTAAAACACAGCGTCCGTCTCTGATCATTGAACTGAGTCTGTCATTAAAACATTATCTTTCCTGTGCAGTGGATCCAACAACTGAACCAGTGGGAACTGACCCACAACTGAACCTGTGTCTGAGTGTGTGTGTGTGTGTGTGTGTGTGGGAGTCGACCCTGGGCTGAACCCGCCCCGGTGTCAAAGGTCAGGGTTGAAGGCCAGGTCAGTGTGCCTAAACCAAAGGGATCTGTGTCAGGTCTGTGGATACAGTCTCTTTGACTGCAGAGCCACCTACTGGACAAACTGCATCACAGGCAGTGAAAAAAAACCTGGTAAAATAAAATAAAAATGTACACATAAATACTGCAAATAAACTACAGACTGAGTTCTTTAAAAAAGAACTTAAAAGAAATACTGAGAGTGCCCCCCCCCGACTCCCCATCAATACAGGAATCAATAACCAATGAGAACCAATTAAATATTTTCAGTGGAACATTCCTGAAGGTTCTACAGGCCACTCCATGATGACCACTCAGTGACCTTGAAGGAGCCTTCCTTCCATCGCCGTAGCAACGCAGCAACCCCAGACTGACCCTTGCACTGGTCAGCGTGACCACCGGGTGACCCCCCCTCGGGGGGGCTGACGGCAGCTGGTCAAAGGTTCAAAGGTCGGCAGAAAACAGACGACGGTGGGAGAAAGTGGAAGTTCAGAGAACGGGGAACTCTTCAACCTTCATTATCTCCGAACATCGGTTCCACGTCAGCTCGTAAATCTGAGCGCCGCTGACTCTGGAGTGAAGGCGCAGGAAGTCGGCGAAGATTCAAGGCCTCAGATGTGTCGATACCGAAAGTTCTCAGGTCACTGGAGAGGCCGGAGTCTGAGGAGGGAACGATGAAGAATTTAAAAATTTAAAGAAGTGAAAAAACAAACAAACAACAGAGAGAGAGAGAGAGAGAGGGAGAGAGACGGGGGAGAGAGAGAGGAGTGTGGAGCACAGAGGAGAAGGTCAGACACTAAAAGTGAGACAAATGAGGAGTCAGGAGGTCAGGGGTCACCTGTGTGTGTGTGTGTGTATGGACTGATCTGAGACCTGTGACCTCTGACCTCCTCCTCTCTAATAGTGTGACTAAACACACACTGAAACAATACAGACTCAGTCACTGTGTGTGTGTGTGTGTGTTACCAGAGTCATCTTCACGGGTGGATGAGTTTGGAGTTCCTGCCGCTACTACTGTGGACACTGTAGTAGTGTAGTTCTTTCTTCGTCCAGCAGGTGTCATCAGGGAGCAGCAGCCGCGGAATGATGACTCCAGAACTATTTTATTTCATGTTTTATTTCCCAGAACTGACTGAGGGTTTGTGGTTCGACTCCGGCGGACTGGAAGACAAAACATGTACTGTTAGAACCCCCCCCCC